GGGCAGCGGGGGAAGGGACCCCGGGCCGGGGGGGCCTCGCACTGCGACCCCCGGTGCGAGAGGCGCAGAGCGGCCTGGTGCAGGCCCGCCTCAGCGGGGCCCTGGCGGCCGGGCGGGGAACAGGGAATGAGGGGCTGGGGCCCTCTGCCCCTGGGGTTGCTTGTGGGGGCCCCCCAGGAGGATGCTGAGAGCGGGACTCGGGGGGTCCCACTTCTCCGATCTAGGACGGGGGGCCACTTGCTGAGTTTGGGGAAGCCCTCGAGGGCCGCAGGGCAGGACAGGCAGCCGGGCAGGTAAATGGTAATTTTCTGCATTTCTTAGGGGCCCTGCGGGCCAGAGACCATGGCCTGGCGGGCCGCGCTTTGCCCACCCCGAGCTAGGAGAAGAGGAGAGGGAGGCCCTGGGCAGCCGGGTTTGGGTGGAAGAGGTGAATAAGGGGACCCTGGGGTGGGGGGCACTGGGGACCCCAGGCTGCTGGGGGTGGGAGAGGTGGAGAGGGGGCCCCAGGCTGGGAAGACCCCTGGTTGGTAGGGCTGGGAGTGAGGGACCCCTGGGTGGGGTTTGGGGGGGTGAGCAAAGGGACCCTGGACTGGATACCCCCGACTGGTGGGGGCTGGGACGGGTTGCTGGAGGTGGAAGAAGAAAAGGGGTCCCTAGGCTGGTGGGGCAGGGGCTCGCAGAAGGAAGAAAGGGGACCCCAGGCTGGTGGGGCTGGGAAGGGGGGACCCAGGCAGGTGGGGGTGGCTGGAGGGACAGGTTTGGGGGGGCAGAGTCAGGATGGGGGCAAGGGGAGAAGGATTTGTCCCTCCCCCACTGCCCCCAGCAGGCCGGGGAGGATGTGCTGCCTCCCCTCCATGCTGCTAACTTCAGCCTGTTCTTTTTGTGGTGCTTTCATCTCCGAGGTGCCCCCAGGCACCCTGTGCTGCCCCAGCGGGGTCCCCATGTCACTCCGGGATGGGAGAACCCACCTGGTTCCCCCAGCTGATCCTCCTCATCCTCATGGGAACTGATCCAGCTTTCCCCTAGCAAAACCCTGCCCTGTGCTGTGGGCGGCAGGGGAAGGGAAGCCGCAGCTGCTGGATGTTGCTGCCCCCCTTGTTCATTCTGCCTCAAGCCAGGGGTCAACAATTTCAAGGTCAGGTGCCTGAATCCCGTAGGTCCTAAAGCAGGTATCACATACTCGGGTATCACCAAGCTTCTGAGCTTGGCCCAGTTTATCTTTGGCCTCTCCACTGCAGCAGCTGGGGATGGTCCAGGGGGGAGAGGGGGCAGCCTGCAGTAGCCAGATCCTTTCCCGTACTGCCATTTGGCCTCCAACACCAGGCCTCAGATTTCTCTTCCCCCAGCTCCTACCAAAGGATGCTGCCCCATCGCTTCCGCTGAAACGCTGCACAACCCAACTGACCCTCAGCCCATCCTTGGGTCTCCTGAACATGTCTGAACAAACAATTGTCCATTCTTGCAGCTAGGGATGGGTATTTGACCAGTCAAATGAAGTCCAGTCACTTACCAGCCAAAAATTGTAATATAGATCCAAATAATACACAGGAAAAGCACAAATTTTCCATTAAATGTGTTTAAAAAAATTTAAAAATCATATTTCTGCCAAGGAAACTACGACAAAGTAGGCTTCTTTTTTTTTGTAAAATTGGTATAAACTTTGACTGGTCAAAAAAATGCTGTCAATCAACAACATTTGACCGACCAGTTGACCGGCTTGCCAACTGTCTTGCCACAGTAGGACGTTGGCAGTGCTCTTGCCCCCCTGCTTTGCCTGTATAGGTCAAGTGTGGGGTGCGATGTTTCAGACATGGTACTTAGTCGTCAGGTGTGAGGGTCGTTCTGTAAATTTTCTAGAATAAAGTTAGACAAACACTTACTTGGGGGGTTTAGATGGGGGTGATCCTGCCTTGAGTAGGGGGTTGGAGAAGGGGGATGGACAAAAAGGAGAACAGCTGAAAGGACAGGATGTTTCATGAAGCAGAAAGACTCGCATGCTTCAGGGCAAAAGCCAACAGCTGAGGGTCAGGAAGAAACTCCCCTTGGGAGGAGGTTATTCAATAATTCAGTCTTGGGCTCTGCCACTTTCTTTAGAAGCAGCTGGTGTTGAGCAGCACTGGAGACAGGAGACGGCACTCGCTGGAGCACAGCGGAGGCTTGATCCATTACCTACACCGAAAGTAGGTCACCCTTTACAAGTCGCTCCCCCTGCTTTCATCCCGACAGGCAGGTCAGCTGCTGGAAGGGGCTTTTGCAACAGGGAACGCTCACGAGTGCACCTGCTGCAGGCTTCGATGCACCTGCCGGCCCAGTGGGTTTGAGCAGTCACTTGCCGTGCTTATTTGCTGCATCAGCGCCAGGAGCTGGTAATGAACACCAGCTTCCTCCCTTAGCATCCACCTCTCCCTTCCATCCTGCCCTACTCTGCTCAGGAAGGAAGCCTGCTTTTCCCCTTCTCTCACCACCAGTTTTCTCCCCTTCGCCATCTTTGCCCTGCCTCTCTCTCCCCCTTTCATTCCTCCCTGACTTCAAGTGTGAGCTCCCTGGTAATGCAGACAGAGCTCTCCTCCCAGGGGCTGCTGGCTGGATGTCATCTGCATCTAGCCCTGATCCTGACCCTCCATTCATTTGTAACGTGGAGCTAGGCATGTCAGTGAATGAGCAAAGACCTTTCACAGTCCCAAGCATTTGCTGCATTTGTCTTACCGGCAGCCTCGAACATCCCAGCTGGGCTTTAGATCACCTTGAGATCCTGTTGGCCACGATTCTGCCTCCCATATGACCCACCCACTCTCCACATTATTGCCCTGAGTCATGATGATGGAATACCGGATCCCATGAGAAAGGGTGATCCCCAGACAATATTTGAACAAGGCATCTAGAAAATGAAATAGATTTAGGTAGCTGCTGCCCCAGGTCTCTATACCATCTCTACTGCTACTCCTGCCAAACAGATTAGTTTAAAATAGCTTGAATGACAATTTAATAGACACAGATGCTTAAATTGTGAGACCTTTGAGGCAGGGAAAATGCTCTCCGATTTGTCAGCAAAGTCACCATTATACTGTTGGTGCTAAATGGTTATTTTAAAAACTTAATAGCTATTTTCAGTAGTTGTAACAAAGAGCGGAATGGGATTCTGCTGAGATCCAGACGTGCACACAGAGTTATTTTGCTGTGAAAGGGAGAGGAGTGTGTTTCGTGGCTTAGTCAAACCAAGCTCCTGGGCTCTATTTCCTACCTTATCCTGTAGTTTCATGAAACAAGGTTTTTTGAACCAATAGCAGGGTTGGGAGCGATGTTAGACATTTCATCTGGTTTGTGCCCAAAAGCTTGTCTGACATCTCTTCCCCACTGTGCAGTTGGTCCATTAAAATCTATCACCAAAAACCTTTGCTTCTCACGTTTCCTGGATCATCGAGGCTACAACACCACTCCGACCGACTGTAGTTTCATGCAAATCACTTCCCCTTTCTTTCCATGTCTTAGCCTTGTGTATCGATAACGCGGGATAATAGAAGCCTATCCCACATAGGGCCTGGCAAGACTCGGTTAACATTTGCAGTGCTCTGAGAGCAGATCAAAGGTGTTTCCAAGAAAGGGGAGCATTTCTGAGTCCTAATTATCACAACCTTAGTAGATAACAGGATGCAGGTGGGTCCTCTACTGCATGGCTACACTGCCAAGAGGAGATCACCCTCCGAACCAGCAAAAGCAGACATATCAGGCCTGGCCATCATCCTCTGCAGCTGACTTGCTGGAGCAGCTGCTTGAAATGAGACATCCTCATCCTCGGCTTCTGCAGTGACGTTAATTGATTAGATAGCAGATAAGCTGATAAGAAAGAAACAGCCCAAGCCTATGCCATGGTGATACATTCCCGGGTGGAGATATTTATTGGCGGGGCTGTTTATTCTTCAATAAAATAATATATAGCAGGTTACCCAGTTCAAAGTACCTTGGGCAGGCTAGGGTGTCTTTGGACAATAGGCCTCGTAGTAGTGTGACAGGGTTGACTGTGTAGCTCTAGGGCTAGGTTAGACAAAGGCTTTGTCCAGCCAGGGCTTCAAATGCCAGTTCTTGAAAACCTCTGAGGATGGAGACTCCTCCACCTCTCCGGGGAGCCTCTTCCAGTGCTTCACCACCTTCCTAGAGAGAAAGTTTCTCCTAATATCTAACCTCAACTTCCCTTGCTGCAGCCTGAGCCCCATTGCTCCTTGTCCTGTC